TACTATAGCTATGCTTCCGGACTCTTCTGGTACTGTCTAGGACAATCCGTACTACTCCAGAACGGTCTAGACAGGTCTATGCCTTACTCATCTCTTACTCATCCTATGGTGCAATACGTCGCAATTCTTTCACCATCGTATTATTCATCGCACTATGGTACATGTGACTAACCACTCTTCGATTAGTCATGGACACTTCTCTGTAGTATATAAGGACTTCAGATTGCGTCCTCCCTCTTAAGTCTTTCCTTACTGACTGAAGATCTTGCTTCGACTCTAGTCGGATCTAATCTTTGTCTTCACAGCCCCGAGTTTATCACGAACATCAAGTGGGTTGGCTCAGGCTAATGATAGCTACCTGCTCTGGCAACTCATCTCGGAGGCGGAGAAGGTGAAGAATAGCAAAATCTTTTTTGGGGGAGAAGTTCAGACCAGTCGGCCACTACTGCTATCTAGCATCCAACTCAAGCAGCCTTGGGGCGCCCAAAAACTCTTCTCCGGAAAATAGGACTACTGCGCATTGCTGTCATCGTGATCCTCACTCTCTACTTATGCTCTGGTGGGGGATCAACCAGATCTCGGTAACATAGTGTGTATAGTCTACAGCCTAGAGACCTCATCATGCAGGGTTGAGCGTCCTGAGATGGTGTGCAATGAACGGGGCTCTTGACTATGGTGCAGTTCACTTAGAGACCACCACTTTTGTACGCAGTTAAGCGCCGCTTCGTAACTTCATCAGATTGTCACGAAACACTTCCGTTATTTGCCATTTGCAAGGATTTGAATAGGGGAACTAATCCCCAAAAGCGATTCTCAATTGGGTCAAAACTGGCGAAGGTGACAAAAAAAGTAAGGCCGCAGCACGTGATATGGGCGTCTATATACTAAAGAGGTAATCATCGTATTACATAATGTAAAGAGACGCCCGTTGCCTGTATCGGCCACTCCCTTGTTGGATCAGCTCGACTGCAGAACCTCTGGCATGTTGACCAATGAGATGCCAAAGTATACTAGTTTTAGTGCTTTCAAAATTAGCACTTTACCACTGCTGAACATAATTGATAAGTCTGAGGTCGCAGTGATGCACAACAGGCTGTATTGGTGTGGTGAGGGGGTCAAAGCCGTTGAACCTAACCTAAGGCCAAGTCACGTGACGCCTAAGCGCGCGCCTAACTGCGTACAACATTGGTGGTGACTACAGCGCCTTGCATAAGTCCGTGAACGCGCGGGATTTTTTCTCTCCGGCGTCTACCCTACCCGACCTGCCTAAACAGGCCACATCATGGTCACAGGCCCAGACACGACAGGCAGCGCTCGGGATCCCTTCGCGTGAAACGGAGGTTTGTTTTCGGGACAGTCGTAACTTGTCCCTTTGCCGACGCGTGCCAAAGGACGCTGAAGGGTCGGCAATGGGAAAGTTGTACTTGCTCAGAGGTTCTACAGCCCTTTGACAAAGAACGATTTGAGGCGGTGCCCGTAGTGAGAGCATGATCATGTATATGCGACTGCACCTTTACTATGGTACCTCCTGTTTAGATCAGGGTACAGGATCCCCTGGGGGCCAATGGGCACTCAAATACAGACATGGAAGTACCGCACGCATATACATACTTCAAAACATTGTGGATTTACCTGGGTACGCGTGTGGTCAACCAACGGGGCCGTGATGCGCTGTCAT